ACAAAATTCTACCACAACAGAATGATCATACAGCTAATTAAGATATGAGTTTCAAAAATCCTTTACAAAAAAGAAAACAATGAAACAAGGGGATCTAAACAAGAATTAGTCTACAGCCACCAGTAAAACTGGGATTTTCAGTGATTTCACTGCCACTTCTGAATAGCAAGTTTTTTGCGGGCAAGCGCCTGCTTGGAAAAGAACCACTCACTGAATTGCGTGGAAGATTTCAATGCTTTATCGTAAAGTTCCGCTTCCATGCAGTCGAGTTTCTTCGATTTTGGACCCTCAAAAATCGCAAATTTAATAATCCAACCGCTTCGTTGAAGAAATGTGTACAGCACGGTTTCCGCAAGGAACTGAGCTCTTTCACCTGAATGAAATACATTAAAGTGGTTGTGTAGCTATTTCCATAAATCAAAAGTAGGTGTTTTTGGAAATTCCTTTATAATTAATTGCTCGAATGACTTTTACGGCGTTATGCAGTTATGAAGAAACGTCGGTGAAGATGAACTAAATGATTACAGGTACAGTGAAATAAATATAAAAGACGACTGAGATCTCTTATGTAAATGAAGGAAAAAAAAGAAAGAATATGAGTATCGTCAGCAGGTTGACCACTACGCAAAGTAGCCACTGGTCACAACAACAATCCCGGGAAGAATGAAAAAACTACATGCTTCACTGATGGCCGAGAAATGCGCTACAGTAAAAAAACGTTAAATACTGGTACTTCTCATAGTTTTTACAACTAAAATTAAAAAATTTGCCCTCCAATCACACAAATGAGTACTGATGTGACCAAAAAAAAAAATGCCACAAACCAGTAAGTAATCTGGCAAGATGCCTTGCAACAATGTAGTAAAACTGATTTAAACGCATGATATCGACGTGTTCCGGTGAGGCACGTAAAATTTCCATCTGCATTTTGCCGAACTGCACTGGCGGTAACACCTGTAGAAGCAACTTTTTAGTAAGAATTTCAAAATAAAACAAAAAATTTTGTGTATATTGTGTACCAAACAATGCAACAAGCGAAGTGTGTAGACCAGGCAAACGTAATTTTGATAAAAATCAATTTGGACCGGGTTTTTGGGTGCGCAGTGACGATTTACCAAGTACCAATTATTTTCCGGTATTTATATTAATTAGATACAAGGCTAAGCATTCATCCCCGGTAAGACAAGACTCCAAGTATTTCAGTAAATGTATTCTCCTATTAAGAAACTCCTAGCACAACTGTTCCGACGCCTGATGACTGCTGGGGGGAGGGAATCGTAAAGTGACCTGAGGACCATAAGCTTAGCAGGAAAAAAGCGATAAAAAATAGCACCATATTCTGGTATAGCGACCCAAAAAGTTTATTTGCTAGACTAGTAGCGTGCCCCTCTGTGTGTGCGTGTGTATGTGTGTGTCGAGACTCCTAGTTATATGTATATATTTATAATTTTGTACATTAACCAAAGTTATATAATGTAGAGTAAGATAAGGAGAAAAACAGAAAAACGGTGGCGAGGCTCTGGGAAGCCAAAGCCCCCAGAACAGGGTTAAGTCTTAAGGAGTGGCTCTGGATCCCGGAAATGGGGAGAAGTGCTTTTATACTCCACTGGTCAGAGATCACTAAGACTGCAAAACTTTAACGAGATAGGGTGCCCAAAAGTTGAACCGGGGACCAGAGTATTGTATCATAGTGACGCAACTGTTCCTTACGCCATTTCTAGAAGAAAAAAAGTCATAAATCATTATTTGATATATTATGTGACACTAAAAAAAGAACAGAAAGCAGAAAAACGCCCGGTTCAACAAAACAGTCACCATCAGGTGGCGCAATTTCAACAACCCCCGAGCGATTAACAGCTACACTGACAGTATAAAACAATAGTTAAAACTATTAAAAAAAATGCGCCATACCTTGCGGTTGGGGAGACTTTTGACCATGAAAAGTGGCAGATCTGCATAACAAATGCCATCTTCCATTTCTGGCTCTCGCTGCCCGATCAAATTGAAAACTTCTAAAAAATCGAGATCTTAGATGTTTCTGGCCATTCCAGGAAATGCTCTAACTGGATTTTTTTTTTAATTCTGGCTAGCCCATTGGCGATTCTGCCACCCGCTTCTTTCTTCTTCCTTCATCATTCTTCCCGGAATTCTTCACATCCCCTCCTCCACTTCTGTAATATTTTAACTTATCTGTTAGCTATCCTCCAAACAAAACTCCAGAAACTGGCTGGTCAATGACATGGGCGATTTATCACTGGCATATGCAGCTTCCAGTGAAATTTACGTTCAAATTTTGTCGAAAAACAGGGAGGCGAGCCTTCCTCGTCTACCACAAACAAAACTATTAAGATTATCAAAATTCTGGCGATGAAATTTTATCCAAATTTAGAATTTTCTATCAAAATTCTGGCGTTGAATTTGTCGTTTCTCGGTTCTACTACACAACGTAGCATCTTCAACCTGAAGTGGATGCCTTTTTGGGCAAATTTTGGGTTTTTTTTTTAAACATTTCTCTTTGCTAACTTCCAGTTCTACTCATCCAACTTCTTTCATTCTTCTAAATCACAGGGCCCTTCATCTTCACTACAGCGAGAGTGGTCACCTGCTTTCTTCCTTTTCATTAAGATAAACTACTAATACTTTTTTGTCACCGATTCCAGTAAATTCCTTTTCTAAACAAGCAACAACTAGCAGGGCCGCCTAAGTTGTTGCTCCGATGCTTCTGAGGGCAAAGGTGGATCCAGGACGGCCTCCAAGGGGGGGGGGGGGA